ACATAAATACAAAAATTACTCGCGTGGTGGTATTAACCATATGTGGATTCTAAATAACTCTAAAGAACTTCTCGATCTTTCTCTGAAATTCATTCTATCAAAACCTTTGATTTTTCAACCCTTTATGCCAAAATTCCAAATGTCAATTCAAAAACTCGTCTAAAAGAAATAATCCACAATGCATTTTAATATAAAAAAGGTAACATACGCTTCAAGTGAATTGATTTGAGATACCATACGACATATTTTTTAATAGTGAACAAAAAGGTAAAATATGCTACACCGAGGAACAAGTGATCAGTATGCTGGAGTTTCTTATTGACAACATATTTGTTGAATTTGGAGGTAGACTTTTTAAACAAATTGTCGGTATTCCTATGGGAACGAACTGTGCGCTTCTACTTGCTGTCCTCTAAACTTTTTATTTAATATGAGTCGGAGTTCCTTCAGACACTTGTCAAAAACAAGAAGATCAAAGAAGCCAGATCATTTAATTTCACATTCAGATATATTAATAATGTTCTTTCCATTAACAGTTCAAATTTTTTCTGATTGGGTTCCATCAATATATCCTCCAGAACTAGAAATAAGAGACACATCTCATTACTAAAATCTATGACAAACGAGAAAATTTTAATTTTGAAATTATAAATTTTTCCTCCCTTAGTAGCAATATACCAACTTCACCTGCATATGGGATATATATTTCCCAACTCATTCGTTAATCAAGAGCTTGCAGCTGTTTCTCAGCATGTGCCTAAGCAGAAAGTTGATTAATTAGGGTTATAAAAAGTTCATCGGAAGATACCAAGACCTTGTTGATAAATATACCGTATCAACTTAACAAATAGTACATGATGGTCTTGGTTTATAGATTCTAGGTATTGACGTTGTTTATCATCTTAATTACCTGTTATGGTGTTCTTTTTATTTGTTTTTGTATATTTTTAACCCTTACTGTTTAGTTCATTTTTGGTAATAACCTTGTGTTATTGTGCTGTGGTAATTTTTTGTATTCATGTCTTCCATTATTTTTGTGTATGTGCTTTGTCTATGGAGTGTATTCATGCCATTTTGTTTTTCTTTGTTAACATAGTTGTTTGTTATTATAGCGATTAACATTATAACACAATGTTGACTGCTGTATTCCAATTTTTGACATTTTTACCTGTTGTGTGTGTTTGTTTTGCCACACGTTGTTTTCAATATAATGGCATTTTATGCGACTGTCATACAAGTTAGAGTTTAGCTAGCTATTAAACTAGGTTTAATATACCATTTTCTGCATAAGGTAATACCTGTAATAAGTCAGGAATATTACAGTAGTTTAATTTTCCATTCATTTGATGTGTTTTAGCTTTTGAATTTGCCATTATTGAGGGACTTTCCGTTTTGAAATTTCCTTGGAGTTTGGTAAATTTGTTATTTTACTTTTTCCTGATGCCAAAATTTTTTCGAAAAAGTAAGTATTTTCTTATCCCAGGAATAGATTACCTTACCCGTATTTGGCACAACTTTTTGGAATTTTGGGTACTCAATGCTCTTCAACTTTGTACTTGTTTTGCTTTATAAATATTTTGATCTGAGCGTCACTGATGAGTCTTATGTAGACGAAACGCGCGTCTGGCGTATTGAATTATAATCCTGGTACCTTTGATAACTATTTACACCACTGGGTCGATGACACTGCTGGTGGACGTTTTGTCCCCGAGGGTATCACCAGCCCAGTAGTCAACACTTCGGTGTTGACATGAATATCAATTATATGATCATTTTTATAAATTTCCTGTTGCAAAACTTTGAATTTTTCGAAAAAAGTAAGGATTTTCTTATCCCAGGAATAGATTACCTTAGCCGTATTTGGCACAACTTTTTGGAATTTTGGGTACTCAACGCTCTTCAACTTTGTACTTGTTTTGCTTTATAAATATTTTGATCTGAGCGTCACTGATGAGTCTTATGTAGACGAAACGCGCGTCTGGCGTATTGAATTATAATCCTGGTACCTTTGATAACTATTTACACCACTAAGTCGATGCCACTGCTGGTGGACGTTTCGTCCCCGAGGGTATCACCAGCCCAGTAGTCAACACTTCGGTGTTGACATGAATATCAATTATATGGTCATTTTTATAAATTTCCTGTTGCAAAACTTTGAATTTTTCGAAAAAAGTAAGGATTTTCTTATCCCAGGAATAGATTACCTTAGCCGTATTTGGCACAACTTTTTGGAATTTTGAGTACTCAATGCTCTTCAACTTTGGACTTGTTTTGCTTTATAATATTTTGATCTGAGCGTCACTGATGAGTCTTATGTAGACGAAACGCGCGTCTGGCGTATTGAATTATAATCCTGGTACCTTTGATAACTATTTACACCACTAAGTCGATGCCACTGCTGGTGGGCGTTTCGTCCCCGAGGGTATCACCAGCCCAGTAGTCAACACTTCGGTGTTGACATGAATATCAACTATATGGTGATTTTTATAAATTTCCTGTTGCAAAACTTTGAATTTTTCGAAAAAGTAAGGATTTTTTTATCCCAGGAATAGATTACCTTAGCCGTATTTGGCACAACTTTTTGGAATTTTGGGTACTCAATGCTCTTCAACTTTGTACTTGTTTTGCTTTATAAATATTTTGATCTGAGCGTCACTAATGAGTTTTATGTAGACAAAACGCGCGTCTGGCGTATTGAATTATAATCCTGGTGCCTTTATAACTATTAACGCGGGATCAAAATCTGTAAACCATCCCATAATAAATGTACACACATCGTTTTTCGTATTTTCGTCACGGAAACATGACATAAAGTTTTTAAATGTATAAATGTTCCACTGACAGAAAATAGTATTTAACGTAAATATACAATCTGTAAATATACAAAAAAGTCAACACATATATGCCAAAACAGAACATAGAAACAAAAACAAAAAAATATGGAATTGTCCCGATTTCTAACACCAGCAATCTTCAAGTTTGTACTTTTAAATGTAAAAATGTTCCACAGACATAAAATAGTATACAATATGTAAATATACCAAAGTCAACACATATATGCCAAAACAGAACATAGAAATAAAAAATGTGTAATTGTCCCGATTTCTAAGGCCTGCAATCTTCAAGTTTGTACTCTACAGTTTTATACATATACTAAGGCAACAGAAGCCTACCGATGCTCAATTCCAATAAATAGATTAAAGCGGATATGTTCCAAATGTCTTAACTACATTCCCATCCACTTTTCCCAGAATGTGACCTACGGAATTAGACTTATTACCGGGTTTGTACTAACACGAGTAACACGATGGGTGCCACATGTGAAGCAGGAACTGCTTACCTTCCGAAGCACGTGAGATCACCCCCAGTTTTTGGTGGGGTTCATGTTGCTCAGTCTTTAGTTTTCTATGTTGTGCTTTGGGTACTATTGTTTGTCTGTTTGTCTTTTTCATTTTTAGCCATGGCGTTGTCAGTTTATTTCTTACTTATGAGCTTAAATGTCCCTATGGTATCTTTTGCTCCTCTTTTATACTGTTATATCATTGTTCAGAATGCTATAATATTACAGAATGTAGCAGTCAGTGGGTATATACAATTTGAACGGGACGATACATTTGTTTCAGAGTACGTGTTATGAGTTGTGTTGAGAAGTTAATGAAAGTGAAAGTGAGTTGTTGTCATTTTTTTCCATCGCATAGGATCATAACAGTATGTATAGAGAATATTATATGGCTTTTTCAATATCACATCCATATCAACCCGAGACACCAATATAATCCTAAGAGTCCGCTCGAGGGATTATATTGGTTGAGGGTTGATACGGTGTGTGATATTGAAAAAGCCATATCATATACAATTTATTATATAGAGATTGATACATGGCCTTTTCCATATCGGCCCGGGTATCATCCCAAGACTCCCATATCAGCCCGAGACGTAGTCGAGGTGCTGATATGGGTCGAGGGATGATACCCGGGCCGATATGGAAAAGGCCATGTATTAATATCTTTATCATATACTTCCGACAATTGTTTTATGTAAGGCAAATAAACAAATGAAATAACCTAAACACTCAAAAACTTTTTAAAGAAGTTAAATCATGAATCCAACAAATACACTATAATTTTCCAACAATAGCATCACTACCTCCATATATATTATGTTACCATTTCCTATAGAGGCATTTTGAAACATTAAAAATTTGAAAGCTGGAAGCATGGAGGAAGTATTTACATTTTTATGATCATTAGTACTACATGTTGTACTATATGAGATGATTCATAATTGTCAATGGCATTTATTAGCAAGTACTTGTTGTAAACTATCATCATTTTGAAAATCTATATCATCGGATTTAGCCATGTTAACATCTTTTTTTCAATAACAGCTGGTTCTGTACAAACAGATTTACCACTGGATCCAATAAACCTTATCGCTATTTGTCCGCCATTACTGGACATCCCAAAAGTTCCCGTAAAATTTTGACGTCATAATAAAATCTGACGCCACAATGGAAAAGTAAATATACGATACCGGAAATACCGGAAGTAACTTGCACGAGAGGCACTGTTATGGGTTTTTTGCACGAGACGCCCCTGATATGGGTTATCAGCCCGGGTGGGAAATTATGGCTTGTGTACTTCCGTTCATTACACATATGCAAAAGCTATCATATTAATGCTAAGTATATGATAAATATATATATACCTCACGTAGATGTTTTTATGTGACATGCCGTCATACAGATTAGAGGTTTGATATGAGTTCATACAGATTAGAGGTTTGACATGACGTCATACAGATTAGGGGTTTGATAAAGCCATTTCCAGAGTGACTGAAATCGATGACGTGACGTCGTATAGATTAAAGGTGTGATAAAGCATTTTCAACCGTGACTGATATCAATATCATCACGGATAGCTGATACAGCACGATTGCCGTTGACTGTATTACACATGCAATTTATCTGTATTTACTACTAAGTATATAATAAATTGAAATTGATCATTTGTTTAATATTTCATAAAATTATTTTTTACACTACACAAAGCTACCAAGCACAATAAATATGTTCGCTTTCATTTATTTTTGTCGTCACATATTGTATTTAAAGCAGCAGTTGTATTTTACGTTGTTAAATACCAACGAGCTTTGTTAAACTGAATCTGAAATACATTATTCATAATTCGTGAAAAATATACTTAATATGTATTTCACCTTTCGTTTGATTTATCATTTTATTATTTATCAATCGAAAATATGGCCCACGAGAAAAATGGTATTTGTGCACATCGTTATGAAGTCAGCATTACAAGATAGGCTTCACTTTCATTTCTGTTCTTTTTAATGCTCTGCGATTATGCCAAGTATACCAGTGAATTGTAGATTCAACTTCTGCTGCGTCCGTTCGATACAGACCATTCATATGAGAATAGGTACAAGATCTAAACCACCAAGCGCCATGGCGTGATATTGCGCAGTTAGAGTGGTAAAAATCGTTGTCCCTGTCTTTTGTTGTAAACTTTTTTCCGTTCAAGCTGCTAGCTTCATGATCCCTCATGGCATTACCTGGAAAATATATATGGTTTAAAGCTAGTATAAATCTTCTTTGTGTTCAGGTTATATTGAAATAAGCAAATGATTCATATTACAGTGAAAAGGAGACATGCATGATTTTGGATTATATTTAAAAATACCGCTCGAGGCACATCATTAGATGTCAAATACATAAATTTGAAAAGCATTTAATGAAAAAGCATAAAGTCCAAGGTTAATGTAAGCCAGTATTTTCTACCCTATTAACAGAAATAAATGAAAACAAAAATCATTAAATTTTATTTTCGGATTTATGTCTGTCTAATCACAATTGTGTCGAGATGAAGGAACTATAAACAACTGTCATGCAGGTGAGAAGTTTACTGCGCTATAAAACCAGTTTTAATCCCCAATTTTCTTTTTTGTTAATACTTTTTGTTTTTATAAATTCCCCGTTAATAAATTAAGAAATTCTTTAAAAACTACGGTTCCAACTCCCTCAGTCAAAGTTGGGATTGGATGGATTTAGCTATTAATTTTATGTCCTTTTGGGAATAAAGCTCCTAATTTTTCTACATCTTTGCACATCCCTTGCTTTCAAATGCCTAAATTTGAGCGCTCCTGGTGAAAGTAAATCCAAAAAAGCGCTTCAAGATTTAAATAGATTGTTATATTCATTATCTCTAAGTTATCACTAGAAAGCCCAGATAAAAGTTAAAACACATATAAAAAATAATCATTATCTCAACCCCAAATAAAGCATTCCAAAAAATAAAAATAATACACATATTACTACTGTTTACTGTGAGATGTAATATTTTCTACAGCCGCTTCCGATTAATGGGGAAATTTCCATTTCTCCTTTAACTTAGGACTTTAACTTGACCTGATGTTGTAAATAAAGGCAACAGTAGAATACCGCTGTTCGAAATTCATAAATCGATTGAGAAAAAAACAAATCCGGGTTACAAACTAAAACTAAACAAATTTACAAAACCGAGTCCTTGTATTTTGACATGACCATTTCTTTCTTTCCATGCAAAAAAATACAAATATCGAGGTTTAACTAGAGGCTCTTTAGAGCCTGTGTCGCTCACCTAAGTATATGTTCATATTCAATAACGGACATTGTCCCAACATTGTAGACGAGAATAGAATTTATGACAAAAATTTCTTTTTTGTTGATCTTGTACTACTGATCGTTTTGATTGTTTAGTTTCTCTCTATCTTCTTTAATTTTTGCTCAAAACACAAAAGGTGAAAAAAACCCTCGTTAAAGGGCAATCACTCCTATATAGAGTGACAGTCTACTAACTATATCGGCAAAATTTGACTTGTTTGTAGATCTTACCTTGCTAATTAATTTTGCTATATAAAAATTTTTATCATTTAAGGCAAAACGCAATAAAATGGTAAAAATCGTCATTAAAGGGCACTAACTCCAACAAGGACTGGTCGGATGATTTCCATCATGTTGTATTAATTGTAAATCTTGTATTGTTGATAATTTTTGCTTATTTAAGTTTCTATCTATCTATTATAATTTTTTTTAAGATATCAGGCAAAAACACAAAAAATTGATAAAAAATCGTCATCATAGGGCAATAATTCTAATAAGGAGTCGACTGATTATTTCGTTTAATGTGCACTTATTTGTAGAATTTGTCTTGCTGTTCATTTTTGCAACATCAAGTTTCTCTCTATCTATTATAGTTTTCAAGATAATAGGCAAAAATGAAAAAAAAGTGATAAAATTTGTCAATTAAGGGCAATAACTCCTATAAGACGTCGTCTGACAGTTTTGACTATATACATAATAGGTAGAGCTCAACATTCTGAACATTTCTATCCCTGTCAGATTTTTCTATTCATAAGTTTCAAAATAATGGACAGAACTTGCATTTTACCCCTTATGTTCTATTTTTAGCCATTTTTTGGTTAAATTTGGCCACGTAGTTTCAGAGGAGAAGATTTTTGTCAAACTTAAAGGGAAACTTCGCAAAATAATGAAAAACTGATATTATGTCCATTCTGTATATTCATAAATATGAAAATTTTATTCTGCTAGATAAGAGATCACCATCGATTTTAAATTTAGAGTATCAATTCTCTGCTTGCGGCAATTTTGACGTCTTCTCGGTTTAGAAACCACGATATATCTATAAACCACAAAGGACCAAAACCAGCAGTAACCTAATGTAGTCGTAATTACGTGTCGATATCTTGTCAATCGTACGGTTGTTTTATCCGACTAACTAACTTGATACGGAAAATGTAATTATTTGTTAAATAACTATGGTCTGTCGGTTTTTAAACTGTTTATATGGGAATTAGTTAAAAAGTCAAAGTTCAAAGTCATAAATAAGTGTTCCGTGTAAAATTGTTTTCGAAAATCTTATTTGTTCATAATTCTTTTATGTAATAAACTTATTTAAATAAATTCGGACCTTCCCTTATCTGATCACCAGCATGGCTAAAGGTATTACTCCCAAAGGTATTGTGAGGTGACACGTCCAGGTATTCAAGCGATTTCCTGTCGGGCTTAAAAACTCTTATTACACAATTACATAAAGCAAGTTCATGCATCGTCTCACTTCTGAGAGTATTGATCAGTGTACACGGCCGATAACTTGTAACTTTCCATTTTGAAACTATCAGGTGTATAATATACATCTCTGTCTTGCGTGCCGACAGTGATATACTAGTCATTACCAGAGACATCTCTGTCATTACTAAACTCATACGCTTGTTTATAAATAACATTTCGGGTGTAAAGAATACTATTTATGAAAATCTAAATAATTCCAAAAAAAGATTTGATAAAATAAAAATCTATTTACAAATTTTTTTCCAAGGGTAAATTGGGGAAAATATAAGTATATACTCGTTGTCAATAATGATGGACATTTTGAAACATACAAGAAATATTGATTTAACAAAAATGTACGCACTTGTCGATCATTGGTTTATACGCCGGGATAGAAAGTTACGGAACTATAGATAGTCGCAATTTAAAATATATACATGTATATTGAATATAAGAAAGAAACATCCAGAACAATTTGATTTAAATACAGGTCGATATCTAACTTGCTTTGGTTCATCGAAGTTATGGACATAGTAAAATCACAGATTTATATTTCAATTAGATTGTTCTCGAACAGTTGAAGAAATTCATCATCATCACTATTGTTGGGTATAATCATGGAAGTAATATTTAATATTACTTCCATTGTATAATGTATAATAAAGTGAACATGGTTCTGAAAGTACCTTATGTCAATTTTCCTGTTCCGACATGCATGTAGTATATGCCACTGGACGTACACTAATGATCCCAAAAAGTCTATTTGAAGAAATAAAGAAACTTCACTTCGGATAGACTGATAGTAGTTGTACAAAAAATAAATTTACGAGTACCGTATTAACGTCTGACCAGCAAGAGGGTTGATTAATTTATTACGTTATATTGTGTGTGAATAAACCACATAAAAGTAACATGAGAAAAAATATAAATACGAAAAGTCGCATATCTGGAAAAAAAAGTCTCACCATCCATAGGATTTCACGTACAATTGTTATTCTTAATCGAAATAACGGACAGTCATTTACATGAATGACGGTACGCTTTGATAAAAAGGGGTGCCGCATATTATTCATCATCAATCTATTTTTTTTCAAGTTTATACTTTCCTGTTATTCTTATCAATTAACGCAGAGACATGTCACTATGCACTGATCTCTAGTTAACGACAATCAACTATATACATATCTGAATCTGATGTGAAATACCGTTCATCTCTTTCTTTCTTTTTTCTTCTTTTTTGGGGGGGGGATTTGGGCAGGGACATAAACATTGTTTGATGTACTGAGGGTTCCCAGGTTGTTGTTTTTTTTTGGGGGGGGGAGGGGGCGTGTTGGAGGTCAAGTCTATCGAAAGTTACAAAATAAGAGCGTTTTATTTATGAATTTACAAGAAGAATTCTGTTCTTGGACGTACTTTTCCTTTTTTTTTTAGTTCAGTGATTTTAATTGAGAAAAAATCTAGTCAAGAATTTAAATCGTTTCGGCAATCCCCATCTAAGACTTCTCTAAAATCATGAATGGCCATGCTTCACAATCATCAGAATTTTCTTTGCATTGGTACATTATGTATCGGTAGTGATTAACCATGACATTTCTGGGTATAACAGAGCTTCTTGTATATTACCTGTATGTGGTTAGGTGTCGTCCTATGAGGTCTTGCGTATACAGGTTCACATTTATAATGGTTTGTGATATAACAAGGTTTTATGACATTCACACTTCTGCATGTTCTGTATACCACATTCTTATCTTATTTTCAGACCGAAAGAGGAAATGAATAATTTCCAGGAAAAATATTGAGTATCAAAGTATCAAATTAATTTCGGGATTTTTTTCTTTCTTGGTAATAACAGAAATTTAAAGAATAAACTGCTTTTCCGCTTTGAGGTATTCTTGCCAGTTAAAACAGACATATAATTATATATGTATATATGTCTCTGGTATAGACATGGTTTATGAATGAATTATAAGTCTTGCAAAGGTACGCGCATTGAAAATTGATTCGATCCGCCGGTCTGTCTCCATTCAAAAAAAGGAAGGTTGACGTTAGATTGATTCTGTCATTTTTTTAAATCATCGTTGGTCAAATAGCTAAAGTATTTATACGTTGTGAGACTTAGAATATTTTAATGAGGACATTCCTGATTAGGTATCCTTTTTTTTATGTTTTTCACACCTGAAAAGAATATTTGTTCGTAATTATTTGATTCCATTCCAAGAATTTCCTGTCAAATTTTTAAACATCTTTTTTTCAAATAGCTGAAGTATTTATACGTTGTGACAGAGACAGATTTAAAATATTTTGATGAGAACATTAATTCATGAATATGTAAATAAAGATCGCTTTGGACGGACCAAATTATATAATTACAATTGGTAATTATCTATTTTAAATAATAAAGGTTACCGATTCTAATTGGAAATAGTACAATTTTTAGTTCATACACTCGTGTTTAGAAGGCCATTATTATTTATAAATCTATTAAATTAAATCAATTCAGTATTTCATGGTTACACAAACAGTGACAGCGGTCATAATTCATTTTAAACTGAGCTTACGCAAAATATAAAAATATACCACGACTATCCAGTTATTGTGCAACCTTATAACTCCCCCAAAATAATTATATTTCTTTTTTATATTTCTGATTCTAAAACTATCAGTCCCGTTTATCATTCATACAAAATGTTGTTCACACCTGGAACGGTGAACCGTGACAGCTAAGATTCACTGAGTGAAGATCAAAAGATTAGAATTACAGAATGCTAATATTTTAATTACCTTGAGTTTAACCACGCATTCAACAGTCACTAAGTGTCACAGTACATTACACATTGTATTTACACAGTACTAGCTGGAAATGTTTGCTAGACTCAAGTAAAGAGTCAGAATACAAACATGCATTTTTAATACATTATCAATCATGTCAGTTATATATGTTTGTTCAAAATATTCGTCGGAAAAAATATCATAAAAATGTTCTGTTATATAGATACAATGGATAAGCGTGGATTCTTGAAAAAGAAACCATGAGCCCGGAGGGCGAATGGTTTGTTTTTCATGAATCTACGCTTATCCATTGTATCTATAACTTAAACTATTGTGTTAATATCTTTTCAAAATTAAAGCCTTTTCTTAATTAGAAGGTATTGTAAGTGAGTTTAAATAACCATGTTATCGTGTCAAACGATGCATTGATAATTCTCAGAGCACAATTAATTGGTTAACACAATACAAATATAACACTTCTACCTTTAAAGATCTTTATATTATCAGGCATCTGAATATTATCTGTTTTTACAAAATAAGACATTCGAACTTATTTCTAATAAAATTGAGAATGGAAATGAGGAATGTGTCAAAGAGACAACAACCCGTCCAAAGAGCATATATAAAGTATATATAATAAGTATGTTACCGAAATTTCTAGCACTCTAGGCACATCACGATTTTCTAGCATAGGAATTTGCGAACAAATATTTGTAAAATTATGTAGTAAAACAGATGAAATCATACTATATTTATACAACAAAAATTGAAAAATAGAATGTAAACATTTTTGTTTCAAACATGTGAAATAGCCAATAATAATCAAAAAAAAAAAACGGTAAAACACGCTATTATTACAAAAATATCCAATATAACATGCAAAATTAGAAAAAAAAAACAGAATTGGGACAACAGAGATAATACAATGATTCGAACCTAAACCGACAAATCCCTATCTTTTAACTCGTTGATTTTAAGCATGCTAACCTCGCGGCTACCAACTTATACTATACGACTGCCCATTGTGTATATATAAAGGTACAACCCTTGTGTGTCCGATGTTCATTTATATATATAAAATAGACATCTAAGTTGTAACCCATTGGTAGCCGAGAGGTTTCGTCGATGTGTTGATGTCAGTCATTCATAACACATTTCAAGGAAGGGTTCGATTCCCAGTGAAGGCATAAACAAATTACAAAAATTAAAGGTAAGTTTTTAAATTAATTCCATTAGTGAACAGAATTCAGTAAATTAGCCAATTCAAACTTAATGAAATTAGACACACAAAGGAAACAATTGAATATAATTTGGTGAGTCCATTTCAGCGGCAGATTTAGGAAGCGTTGATTCTAGAAAAAGAATCCACGGTAAATGAATAGGCTGACGTCACCACAATGGTTTAAATTGTATGATTTACTTTTATTACTATAATCATATCAGAAATCCTTAAAACATAAATCCTACAATTTAATTTTATTGATCACTTTACTTTCTTAATTTTTAGTTGGTTAATAGCTACACCAAAAGTCGTCGATGCGCTTTAAATCGCGTTATTAGATGGTTAACGAACAAGACTTAAATGAGATTAATTCCACTCCCGGCATGCAAAAAGACTTAAACTACGTCACAGAAGTCAGGAAGTTTGAATAAATAAAATTAATAATTCCCAATTTTCTTCTTTATTAGTTTTCATATCCAAATAAAACTTGGTGAATATGTTTTTTATGGTATTATGAACATAATAAGATGATAAGTAAAAAATCGCGAATTTTCCCTTTAACGACGGCGGACGACGGACGATGACATACGACGGACGCTAAGTGATGAGAAAAACTCACTTGGCCCTTAGGGCTAGGTGAGCTAAAAAGTTACTAATATTGAAATCTCCATGTACATATTTTTATTCCGTATGGACAAAACATTAAAGTAACAATATGGCCAAAATCTCCATTTAAGGGCGATAACTCATAAAAACAGTCGATTGATTATGAATAAGACGATCATATAGTTTGATGTCCTGTACAATGTCAGGAATATGGCAGTTGTTATCTACAGTCCGTTTCTATGCATGTTGGCGTTTGCTTTTGTTGTAGTTCAGTGTTTCTGTTGTTCCGTTGTTTTCCTCTTATAGGTAATGTGTTCCCCTCGGTTTTAGTTTGTTACCCGGATTTGATTTTGCTTTATCGAATCATGACTAATTAACAGCGGTAAACTACTGTTGCCTTTATTTGACAATCTGCACAATTTTGCACCCGTGAGTTTATCTCATATTTTAAGATGTTCGAAATATAAGACAACTATGTATATTTGTGTTTACGCCATTACGAGCATGTTTGACGGGTGAGAGGAAACAAACTTCATCTGACTATTTAAGTATTGTTCAGAATAAAATTGGTTGAAATTATCCCAGTGGTTTATTTTCTTAAAAATACACGAAGACATGTAAAACAATAAGTACCTTATAGAAATCAAAATGTGGGTTATACACCAATTAAACAGTTAAAATACAGTTGTAGCTAAAAGATAAGTGTTTTTATACACTCCCATGAATAACATGCAGTTATGCAATGATACTTTGGTATTTGAATAAATGAAACTATAGAAATTGAAGGCAATTTATCACGTTCTGAACATTTAAAAAAACAATTCAAACTCAAACTGTAAATACTTTACACGATTCAATTACAGAAAATGCATTGACCTCTTAATGCAGCTGGCTTAGTACATACCAGCATCTCCTGTGTAGCCCTGGATTGTCAGTTGATATTCAGAAGAGGCGTTCCCAATGTTGAATGTACTGTAAATAGCGTATCTGTTTTCTTCTTCAAAATCTTCAAGGTCAAATCGTAACTGATACTGCCTTTGGGAAGTTATAGCATGAATATTCTTATTTCCTGAAAGATTTTTTTTTCTGATTGATTGATCGACTAATTCATTTATTGCTTGATAAATATATTTGAGATTTAGTTTTTCATTTATTGTCAGTTTATTCCTTATGAACTCAACACGTTGGAATTTTCAGTTATTTAAAGTTTTATTGGTAGAGATCATTTGATTCAAGCAAATTAAACGACCGAACAAATGAAAATACTAAATTTACCCTTTTGATTAACCTTTTTAATTGATAAATTGCCAATCCTATGTTTGACTGGGTAATCTCTGAATATCTCCCATATGACAGTTAAACCCTTGCTAAGGAAGTTGTTCGTTTGGCTATGCGAGATTTATGAATATGCACTTACGTCAAATTGGCATACTCTTTATATGTCTGTTCTAAATCAAGAGCCTGCAGTTCAGTGCTTGTCGTTGGTTCATGTCTGTCATATTTTTTTCTCAAATATTTTTGTTATAAATTATGCCGTTAGTTTACTCGTTTGAATTGTTTCAATTTTTTGTGTCGAGGCCATATATAGCCCACTTTACGGTATGTTTATTTTTTATTTAATTGATGAAGGCCATACGGTGGCTTATAACTGCTAACATCCACTTCATTTCAACTCTAATGGATAGTTGTCTCATTTGCAATCAAACCATATCACCTTATTTTTATATAAGACGATGAATGAATGAACAAGTGAGAGACTCCTGCGTGGAGCAAATGTTGACACAGTAAAGCATCATAGAATAGATTCCCCTTTTCAAAGCTAAATTCTACTGTATTAAGTTAACTATATGGAATGTTGTTTATTTGATATGCTAAATAAAAGAACATAATTATCGAGGTTTTTCAGAAATAACTCTATTGTGGTCATTGCAAATATGAACATAATTACCTAACCAGAATTCATTCTGAAGATCACCAAAACCATTTTCGTAATCTGTCCAGCCACGATAAAAATCAGTAGATCCATCTCTTCTTCTTTGAAGCACCTTATTTAAATTGATAATATTTGAAAATTTAAAAAGAAACATATTACTCGTTACAATACGATATGGTGTTATTTGATGCAATATATGCGAAGTTGAGAATTTGGAACAATTCTAACTTTTACTAAAATCTGGCAAGAACCGCCAGGAGAACTGTTTTATAGAAGAGCCGCTAGAAAAGTTGCTCTGCAACATAAAGAACAGATTTCGACATTGTGTGTTCTAATAAGAACATTTCTAACTTAGATTATTCAGTTAGAAAATTTTAGACAATTTTAAGCTGGAACCGTTTTGGACAGTACTATCCCAAAGTTCTGTCACTCAATAACCCACATTTCAATGAGTGCTTATATATCATACATCCTAGTGGATTATGGTTTTCTGCTTTGTATCGATCTGATGAGTTTAGTCCTTTTTTCAACTAATGTTGATAGATATAGGAAGATGTGGTATGAGTGCCAATGAGACAACTCTCCATCCAAGTTACAATTTATAAAAGATAGTTCTTTTGTTGTGCGGTTACATCACTATCCAAGGTTAAGGGGATGTTTGAGCGCTCACAAACATGTTTAACCCCGCCACATTTTTTATGTGCATGTCCAAAGTCAGGAGCCTATAGTTCAGTGGTTGTCGTTGGTTCATGTCTGTCATAAAGGTTTTTCGTTAATTGTTTTGTTATAAATTAGGCCGTTAGTTTTCTTAATTGAATTGTTTCTTATTTCATGTCGGGGACTTTTATAGCCGACTATACGGTATGGGTTTTCCTCATTGTTGAAGGCCGCACGGCTGCCTTTATTTGCTAACATCCACTTTTTGAACTTTGGTGTATAGTTGTCTTATTGGCAATCATACCTCATCTCCTTATTTTTATATAGATATTAAAGATACTACAGAAAAAGAAATTCTGCGTCATATCTTCTAGATATATTCACAGATTGATTTCCAACTAGAATCTATGACAAAAGTGATGATTTCAACTTTCCATTTTTCAATAGTAAAATACCTTTGTATGGCGTTTACATATCTCCGTTTATATGTGTCGTTTGTTCATGTTCGCACTATACGGACTTCCAATTTATTTACAGGGGTGTGCTCCTTACACAAAAAAAAAACAGTTTATGTCGGAGAATGACTGAAATCGACACTACATACGTTTTACGATCATCATCACAAATTAGAAAATGTTGAGCGGTATTATGTATTGGTGTATCAACACATTAGCGACAAGTTTTTTGCGGTCTTAGATCTTTAAATTCAGTATATTTTTTTGATCTAATTTTTTTCAAATTGTGTTCTCCTCCCGATTGTGACATTTTGACTGAGTGTGAATACAGATAGCGGAAATTGCATGCATATCAGGAGACCCTTACCCTGTCGATGCGACCCGGATCGCTTCTTTCTGAGTTTATGCGATTCCCGAATGTTTGTTTTGAATTGTAACTTCATAATAAATTTACGTTTTACATAAGTTAACTACTGTCGCCTTAATTTACCCTGAAACATGATAATCCTGACATTTCGATAGCTTTATTTAAAGTTTTGATGTAGTTAAGTATTTTTTTTATTTATTGGTCTTTATATTAATTTCATTTCTCTCTTTCTTTATAGTTTAGTTTGTTTTTTATTTTATCTTCATCTTTCAAAAAAAGTATTCTGCAATTTCGTTTTTACTTTTAATGATTATTTAGTATTGTTCAATTTACACTTTTTTTTAATGCTATTATTTTTCTAATTAAAATCCTGACAAAAGGTTTTAATTGTCCCCTGACAAATACCAGACGCAATAAATTAGCAGAGAATTTGACTTTTAATTTCTAATTTTTACGGAAATGACAAAAATGGATGCGCTCGTGATTACAATGTGAATATTTTATAAAATGATATATTTTGGTATTGATTATCTACATAAAACTACTTACAGTATGTTATTTTCTCAATTTTATAGTCGGGGCTATCGTTTTTTTCATAAAAGCATTCTAAATTGGTTTTGCGCGAAAGCCAATATAACGGGTGTTGCATTCGAGAGGAATTTTTTGTTACGTTAAACTCACCGTCCAACCACCACCGGATGTATTCTGATCACAATAAACTTTCAAGACATGAAAATGGTTCGGTCGTATTTCATAAGTACCACTTGGAAGATCTGGGTGTAATCCACTACAGTCAGTAACTGGCTGCATTTGATCTAAATGTGTATATTTGAAAAGCAACATTATAATTGTTTTAAATACAAGGTTAATTATACTCTATGACGAGGACAGTGGGGATGTTAAAAAAATAATTCATGTTTATAATTAAAGAACCTTTGAAAACACACTCATATACCATAGGCCCCCACATTACCACTGGGTAAACAAAATCTTACTAGAATCCGTAGTTTAAAGAATCAAACTTTAAAAAAAATTGATACAAATTTCTTGTGGATATGTACATCTACATATTATGCCTTCATTAACTATAAAGTTTCTTAAAATTCTGTTGTCTGGTTTCAGAGGAGTTACGATGACAATTTGTTGCATAAGTATATTTAAGCCAAAATTCTAGGTTCAAATGGACATAACTGCTAGAAGAAATGTTGAATCATAATTTCTTGTCGATATGCATATCTACATAGTATGTCCTTATTATCTACAAAGCGTCATGAGTTTCTGTTGTGTGGTTTAGAGGGGTTGCTTTGACAAACTGTTGCAGTAGTTTATTTAGGCAAAAGCTCGAAGTTCAAAGGCGCATACCTCCTAGGAAAAATTGAATCATAATTTCTTGTCGATATGCACATCTACATAGTATGTCCTTTTTATCTACAAAGCGTCATGAGTTTCTGTTGTGTGTTTTCAGAGGGATTGCGGTGAGAAACTGTTGCAGTAGTTTATTTAGGCAAAAACTCTAAGTTCAAAGGCGCATATAACTCCTAGGAAAAAAATTGAATTATAATTTCCTGTCGATATGCACATCTACATAGTATGTCCTTATCATCTACAAAGTTTAATGATTTTAAAGGAGTTGCGATGACAAGAACAGGACTGACGGACGAACGGACTTGCGGACGGACGGGTCAAAAACAATAGACACTTCGTTGCATGGGGTATAATAACCGGATTATTAAATGGTTTTATTAGAGCCACGCATACAATTAGAAATTGAATCGTTGATGCCGAGTATTTAAATTATATGTTTATTTTAACATCTTTGTAATTTTAGATTATTCAAGATTAAAACCTTGAATTATTGGCTGGTTGGCAATCATTTTGAAAATTAGTTATTTGATCGGATCAGCATCTTCAACAATCCGTACCATGGTGAATCGTGTTGTCAAATGACGTTTTTTTTTATATATATATATTTACCAATGAATCCAGCACATTTTCAGGACTGTGTCTGCGATTTGTCTTGATATTTTTTTTTATCTGGATAATGGTCATATGCGGCATGGGTCTCAAAGGTTTGTGCATGCCAAGATTTTACAACGCATATGACATCAATGAATGAGAATTTTCGCCAATTTGTATCATCATTAACGATACGACAGGTGTCACACGTGGTGCAGAATCTGCTTACCCTTTTGGAGCACCTACAATATTCCATGTTTTGTTTGTTTTTGTCGTGTTTCGTTTTGTGCTATAGCATTGTCACGTACCTTCAGCTTATATGTTTGAATATCCCTTCAGCTTATATGTTTGAATATCCCTTCGGCTTATATGTTTGAATATCCCTTCAGCTTATATGTTTGAATATCCCTTCAGCTTATATGTTTGAATATCCCTTCGGCTTATATGTGTCTTCGGCTTATTTGTTTGAATATCCCTTCGGCTTATATGTTTGAATATCCCTTCGGCTTATATGTTTGAATATCCCTTCAGCTTATATGTTTGAATATCCCTTCAGCTTATATGTTTGAATATTCCTTCGGCTTATATGTTTGAATATAACTTCAGCTTATATGTTTGAAAATAACTTCAGCTTATATGTTTGAATATAACTTCAGCTTATATGTTTGAATATAACTTCAGCTTATATGTTTGAATATAACTTCGGCTTATATGTTTGAATATCCCTTCGGCATTTCTTTTAAAACTGAAAAATTCGCGAACAATTTTTGATTGATCAAGATTAAAGTTATACTTACTGATGTCTTTAACACAAAATGTTTCGCCGTCCCTCATAGTTTGGCAGATTTCGCCGACTTGACAATTTCCTATTTTTGAACAAGGGTCATATCTGGAAAACTGTTCGACATTATTTGATTTAATTTAATTTCGCAAGTAAATTTATCAATTAAGCTTCACGACACTATAACTATTTTGAAATGGTAGTTTTAGGGAACGACCATTTAACTTCAAAAAAAGGGGGGGGGGGGTTCCATAAAAATATTCTGATCCTCAATTTGATGAAAAAAAATATTGTGGTCAAGCAGATGACAAAAAAAATATTTTGAATCCAGATTTTTCCCATACCTTATTGTGATACATTTTGGAAAAAAAACTATTTGATAGCGTCGAAGAACTAAAAAAAAATGTTCGGGCTTTGCGCGGAAAAAAATTTCTGACCCAGGCAAAAACCATAACCCCCAACCCCCTTTTAAGTTAAATGGTTGCTCCTTTAGATGAAGAATAATATCTGGAAAAAACACTTTCTTACTATCAATATTTACTTAGAATCTTGCATTTAGTAATTATTGATAAAAACGGAGTTTAAAATCTTCAGTGATCCTATAGTTTTTCCAACTAGTAAAAAATTGATGGTACATAATGAATTTGGATGCATAAAAAAATAAAAATAAAAAGCGTAATACAAAACCTACAAAACCTGAATTGTTTTTCCTTTGTTGTCTTTTAAAATTATGTTGACCAAACCGTCTGTCATCTATGCGTGTAGGTAGAACAACATGAGTCCTTCATATGATTTTAGAATTTAGGTAGCATTGTTTAAAAAACTGGCCGCATCAATAATTTTGCCTGTAAGCAAATGCACGGAATACAGGGATGGTATGCTATCGGGGCTGAAACGTCCAGTAGAAGTGATATCGACCCAGTGTTTTTTCAGGGGTTTTAATGCACCAGAGATATTATGCTTATGATTTTGTACCCTAGATGTTTCGTCTTCATAAACCACGGCTTCAATTGTGCGTAGTGCAATAAAGCGAAAAAAATTGGTTGGTGATGGTTCCAAGCCCATATCAGAAGCTTTTTTGGTGCTTCCATAGTGCTGATCAATCAACAGGAATTGTATAGAAAAGAGAGTTTTATATTGCATATGATATCTATATAATACACTGGACTTGAATAATATTAATATCATTTGAAGCCAATATCGTTTCTAAAAATGAAAACAACCCGTTAAATAATTTCATAATGGGATCCTTGTAAAATCATTTTATTGGGGAAAGATAAGAAGATGAAAATAGTGTCTGATATACAAATAAAGTTTTGCAAATTATTGAAATGTGTAGCTCCTATATGGCAATAAAATACAGTATGCTTCGGAAATTATGTGCGAGTTCAAATTCTTGCATATGATATTTGGAACCCAAAACTACAGCAATCCATTTCAACTTTTAACTTTAAGTTATGATTGATACTTACATTTCTGTATTGCTGTATGTTTACATGCACATAACCAATTCCTTCAACTAAGTCGGTTTCGACGTTTTTCTCGTTTATTTCGCAGTGGCGTTCTTCTTCTTTGTAATTGAAAGAAAGACATCTTCTCCGACGAATGCATTTATCAAAACATGCATTTGCCCCAACGTTTTCAAACGTAATAAATGTATATCCATGCAATCGAGCATTGATATGATCAGGGTCCACTCTTAAGCTTCTAAGATGACATTCCTGACAAAATGTTCCTATCAAATGTATGAATAATGTAAATCCAATATAATAATATGATACATGTACATTAAATAAAACTACTGACATAATTGTCGCTAAATTATGCTTTCTCTTTTGCTTTTAGTTTTAACAAAATAAAGACTATTCGGAAAGTATACACGCTGTCTGGCCTTAGCAACAGTTCTAACCAATTCAATGCTTATACTTTGGAACAGTGTACAATGAATTATGAATGTTTTTATCTTTCAAAATCATTTTTTCATTATGACAACGATATTTTAGAACTGTATTTTATAAATGTAATGCTAGTTAAGGACCAGTTAATCTCACTCAGTCTTTAATTATTTATATCTATTCGTTCAATTTCAAAAAATTATAGACGGACATCGATATGCCTGATTGATATGTTCCTATAGTGATATTTGTTGATCAGTGTCGATGTTATTCGTTGAGAGTAAATGAAATACACATTGTCCAACGAATACATTTTTCGTTTTCAAATGTAATAAATGTATATCTTATATAAGGGTTTGGATAAAATCAATATTAACAACATATTTTTTCATAAAAAAATCTAGGCAAACAAAACCTGATTACTTCACAGATAAAATAACACCTAAAATTTCAAATACACAAAAAAACAAACTACCCACAAAAAGGTATAAGGGATCTCTACCCCCAGGGATTTAAAATCTAGACCTCCCGATTGCTCATGTGCATCGTCTCCATACAAACATTGTCCGACTGATCATGTTATAACTGGAAAGATTGGTATCGTAACAACAACAATGAACAGATTAGATAGTTGTTTGCGAAAGGCCCGCAATATCAAATCCCAAGCCTATCTGCAAAAAGAACTCCAGGTCACTGTTAGATGCAGTAAAGGAAAATACCAGAACATGAGTAAAGCGTGAGCCAAATGAACCAAAACTGAACACTAAATTTGATAGGATCAAAGCTGTTCGGTCATGCATTCTTAAACGCATTCAAAATCAACAATGCCCACTGAACATACAGATTTCTAATCCTTTCAAGAAGCACAAGTATTTTGCAGTCATGTAAAAACCTTTGATTTTTTTACGCTTTACACAACTATTCCCCATGTTAAATTCAAAGAACGACTAAATCCTCTCATTAAACAGAGTTATTTTTTTCTACAAAATGGGAAACGTATATACAAATAGGTCATGCAAATCTCACTTTGTGAAGAACCACACTATTCCCCCAACAAATACACCGAAGACGATATCATCAAAATGTTGGTCTTTTATCGACAACATCTTTGTAGAGTTTGGTGGATTTATATTTCAGTAGACATTCAGTATGTCAATGGGTACTAATTGTGCAGTACTACTGGAAGAAATGTTTTATACTCATGTGAATAAGAATTATTACAAATAGAAAACGTATCTAGTAAAGTTCTTTAATTTAACCTTAAGATATTTTAATGATATTCGATTACTCAATAACCCACATTTCAATTAGTGTTTACATCTCATATATCCCAGTCTTGTCATGACAATAGTTATGGTAGAGGAGTGGCGATATGAATATTTATTTTTGATTGCATTGGAAAGATCTTGCAATTGCAAACAAAAATATATATGGTTTAGTGTTGACATATTAAATATCAATATTTAAACTTTGGCGGTTAATGATCAAGGTTATGTGTCATCTTTTGTATTCAGCGACACATCATCATGAGGTGCTGCAGACCTGTGCAAAATATCAATAACCATTGTCATAAGATAAAAAAAGTTACATTTAGAACACAAATATGTCTCCAAAAAAAATATTATTTTTTCATGTGATAAAACACTAAATGAAATTTCGGATTTAAAAGGGTTTGCAAATGTTATGTAAATGCATTCAGTTATATATCTTTATTTTCATAAATCATAGTACAATGGTATAGAGATACATACAAATAAATTGACATACATAATATAAAATGTAAGTACAAATATAAAGTAGAAACATAAAGTGGTTACCCAGGAGATTATAGGCATTTAATAATTATTCGTATAAATTTGCACAGTTTGTTCAGTTCAGGCGAGTTGTTGCTTTTCATAAGATCTTGAAATTTTAAAATATTTGGTCTGTTTACAAAATAATGCTTTAACAGTGTTTTTTTACTTTCATCTATTGCCGAACATTCTAAAACATAATGAAACTCGTCGCCAATATCAATGGTCTTACATAAAGGACAAATACGATTTTCTCTCTGAATATTTTGCCATCTACCAATTTCGATAGGTATTTTTGTGTTGAAAGTTCTAAATCTACAAAAAGAAGCAATATTTTTGTCATCTAGAATATCAAAGTAGGTTTCAAAATTTAGACTGTTTTTGAATAATTTATAATTTAGAGCTTTTGGAGAGTTCTGTAAAGTAGCATACCATGTCTGCATGAACTGGTCAGTTAATCTTAATTTAACAGTATCATACAACCAGTTTTTACAGATAAAATATTTAGTGTTCCATATATTTGATAGTCCACAATTATCAAGCACAGATTATACATTCTTACACCAAGCTATGTTTCCATTGTAACTATCAATAACAAAATTGTATAGAATAAAAGGAAGTTTCTTTTCTCCGGTTACAAGGTTTGCCCAATAATTAATAGTTCGTTATTTGATAAAAATATCCAGTGGGAATCGACCAAGTTATCCAAATATCATGAAGTCAGGAGTCGATTTTTTTAGATTAAGCAGTAGTTTACAAAATTTAAGGTGAACACGTTCTATAACAGAGGTGTTACCCATTCCCCAGACTTCACACCCGTATAGTAATATTGGCTTAACTACTTTGTCAAATAATTCTAGTTGACATTTAATGTTCAAATTATGTAATCTCCCCTTTTTCAAAATATCGTACATAGCCCTTGTTGCTTTCTCAACTTGTGCCTTTTTCGCTTTTGTGAAACATCCTGTTTTTGAAAACAATACACCAAGATATGTAAATTCTTCTACAATATCTAATACAATATCAGCATATTTGAAAATAACATTCTGTAGTTGTCCACCTTTAGAAAAAATTACGATTTTCCTCTTTTGGACATTGACTTTAAAGCGTCTAATTGTTTTTTGTAGATCTGCTTGTGTTTCTGACATAAGTACAGTGTCGTCTGCGTACAATATAACAAACAGTTTTAGATACATATTTAGTTCGCTCTCTGTTTGATCTGATAAAGATTTCAAACCATTTATAGTTTTGTTCTGAAAAAACTTTTCAAATCATTTAGATAAATAGAGAAAAGTATAGGAGATAACTTTTCTCCTTGTCATACACCTACATTACATGGAAAGTAATCTGAATATTCACCATCACTGAAAATTTATGATTTTACATTTTTATACATGTTAAATATGTTATACATCTTCCAATTCACTGTATGTAAAAGGAGTTTTGACCAAAGACCACATCTCCAAACTGTGTCGAATGCTTTTGCAAAATCAATAAAAGCACCAAAAAGTTTTTTCATTTTTTGTTTCAATAGTTCAAATAAAATATGCAGAGTAAATATACTGTCTATAGTGGAATAGCCTTTTCTGAAACCAACTGGTTTTCATTTAACAACAAATATTCTTCTAAAAATGTGCTAAGTCTAAAATTCAGATTGATACTTTTCCAGTATCAAAAACAATATTGAATAGTTTTACATAGATTGGCATGAAAATCTGGGCAGTGCTCTTAATGTATTCATTAATAATGAAGTCATCACCACAAGCTTTGCCATTTTTAAGATTTTTAATGCATTTAAAAATTTCATTTTCCGTAATAGGACTGTTAAACAGTGAATTAAGTTCGTTATTCTCATCTGAAAAAGTTACTTTACCAGCGTCAGAATATGACGAATTTAAATTTTTGAAAAAATTCAAAAAGTGTATCAACAGGAATACTAGTCTTTTTTTTCTCTCTTATAAGAGTTCAATATCTTCTAAAATTCTTTAGAATTACTTATTTTGAAAACATTCATCTTTTTTCTCATGGCTTTTTATGCTTATTTATAGAAATGTTCATTTGCCTCTTAAATTAACGTTCTGTATTCTTCATCTCCTTTCTTTTTAAACATGTTTATTTTATTTATATCTTCTGTTGGCTATACGAAAGCACAGCCTTTTTTCCCAACATACTTGGTCAAACCAAGGTTTAATAACTTTTCGTCGACATTTCTTTTCATGTCGTTTGTAACTAAATGATCTAAACACCTGTTCGGCTGAGTCCAGCATTAGACCATTAACAGATTCAACTATTTTATTAATATTTTCTTGAGCCAGTATACTGGTATTTAACATAGTTGAATCATTATTTAATTGATCGATTTAATTTCCATCGGTATTTCTCAGAAATTCGGCTTCAGAGACCAACATTTACAAATATCTACAGACCTATGCATAGAGTTTGCCTTTTCTTTACATGTAGTCAATATTTAAATTTCTGGTGATTTAATCACCTAGGCGTGGTTATGAGAGACCGCGGTTTATAACAATTATCAACACCCACTGGAACAATAATACACTTTTAGTTTTACCAATATTTATAACCACCAAATTTAAATAAATCGGGAAATGTTAGTCTTTATGAGGTTAAGAAAGCGTCATCTTACAAGTACCTTTATAGGGGCGATAAAGATTTAGGTGCATATACATTTGACTGCATGGATTGGAAATTATTCCGAAACGAGAACTTTAGATGGGCATGCAAAGCATAATTTGCTCCTGGCTGCCAAAACATGTCAAATGTGTGGTAAATAAATAATTTTGTTAGCTGTCCTTGTGTCAAATCAGAACATATAACCAACTTTTAACATGTTATCAAACAATTAGTTAAAGACATCAACTTGCCCACAGTTTGCTTCGTTGAGACATGTTTTTATATTGTCATGTTTACGATAGGTATAAACATATTGGCACATATTACTTTGAGTATATAGTCAAATATATGATAAAGACAAATATTTCAGAGAGATATTAATGTATGGTAAATATTGAATTTGCTATTAACTACCTTATATATTGGAAAGGTGTAGATTATATTGACATTCTAATCTTTCAACTACTCAACTGGTTCAGAAATAGTCCAAGTTTTGCGAAAAAGTCTTGACGTTTCTCCTGAAGGTTTGTCGCTATATGATATATCGGTGCAAAGCATAAAACGACCAGTTAGCTTCCACAGGAAACCTTAAATCATC